CACAAATTCCTCCCCCCCCCCCAGCGACCCCTGCTCTATGCCTAGAAGAGAGCAACACCCCTCCCCTTCAGGCTCCCCACCCAAATTGCCCTGGAGAAAATGACTTCCTGAGCCCAAAGTGGCGATCAGCATTTCCCTGGGCATGTAAGAAAGGCCCACAAGAACTAAGCACCGAGGCAACCCTTCCTGCCCTCCCTCTCAGGTCACAGAATCAGCATTGGTGCCGGATGGCCATCTAGCCTCTGTTTGAAAGCCTCCAAGGGAAGACTGAGTTCTTTCCCGCCGAGTTTCTCGGCCCCAAGAATGAGAGGCAGCTCCATTTGGTTTTCTTTTTTTTAGGTGAAGCTGGAAGTATGTAATAGTAAACAGTAAACTGAAAAATGTCCAGTGTAAGTTATTATGTAGATATATGCATTGTAACTAATGTGAACATGGGAAAAGAACTCAGGAAACTGGATGGAACTACATAAAAAGTAGAGCTCCTTCAACCTTTCCTCCTAGGACTCGGTCTCCAGACACCTCACCATCTTCGTTGCCCTCTTCTGGACACGTTCCGGCTTGTCTATATCCTTCTTAAAGTAGTTTAAATTAGTTTATAGCAGGGCCGGTGTTCCCTCTAAGCTTGGAGTCTTGTGAGCAAAAATCCTACTTTGTGAGCTACTGGCATTAATGTCGTGAGCAAGCAATTTGGCTGCTGCATAAATTAGTTTGCTCTGGAGCCAACCATCCTTCCTGAGCGAAGACAAAAATATGTGAGCTGGAGGCTAAAAAAACTGTGAGCTAACTCACGCTAACTCAGCTTAGAGGGAACACTGATTTGTAGCAGGGACTCCTTTGCCTATTAGGCGACACAACTCTTATGTAGCCAATCCTCCGAGAGCTTACAGTAGCCCCTGTAAGAAGAGCTCTGTAAGCTCTTGGAGGTACTAGTTTTTAACTCCCCATCTTCGGCGGGAGGCCTCGGGTTCGCCACGGGAGCTCTACGCTTCCCAGATGTTGCGGTCTGATCGTGCCCGGAAAATCCACCTATCTTCCGTCTCTGTAGCATGGCTAATGCTCCGTGTGACCGCAGCCAAAGATAACTTTTTCTCCCTGTCCCAAAAGGATAGAACTCAAGGGCATTCCAATGAAATGGATGGGCAGTAGGTTCAGGACAGACAAAAGGAGACACTGCTTTACACAGAGAGTGATTAGAAGGTGGGATTTGCTGCCACAGGATGTTGTGATGGCCACAGGAATAAACAGCTTTAAAGGGGGATTCGAGAGATTTGTGGTCTATCGATGGCTTCTAGCCATGGTGACTGAGGGGAACCTCTGCACTCAGAGGCACTGATCCTCTGAACTCCAGAGCCAGGAGGCAACATCGGGGAAAGGCCTCGGCCTCCATGCCCTGTTGTTGGCCATCCAGAGGATCTGGTGGGCTAATGTGAAACAGGATGCTGGACTAGATGGTCTGATCTAGTAGGGGCAGGGCTGTTTTTGGGCAGGAACGCACAGGAACGGAGTTCCGGCTGGCTCCTGAGTTGGCCACGCCCAGCAGGAGCTCATTAGCATAATAGGCAACACCCAACAGCAGAAACTCATTAGGATTGGCTACATTAGGGGTGTGGGGCCTAACATGCAAAGGAGTTCCTGCTACAAAAAAGGCCTGGGTTTTGACAACAAACAAGGTAAACAGAATAAGAAGCGAAAGGTGGGTGTGGCTGGATGAGCACACTTCTGGTAACACTGAGGTGTGGCCTCATATGCTAATGATCTGTGCCGTCAGGGGTGTGGCCTAATATGCTAATGAGTTTCTGCTTTTGGGTGTGGCCAATTATGCTAATGAGTTCCTGCT